AGTATATGTGATAGAGAAACTCTAACATTCAGGATGTGAAGCAGACCGCCACCTCGTGTTGCCAGGTAATCCGACAAGCAGCAGCAGTCCGTCTCCTCATATAACCCCTAACAGCTCAGGCTATCCTGTGGCACTCGTGGACTGTGCCCATGCCTCGCCTCTGTCCATAGATTAAAGCTGAAGTTTCATCTGAATACATTTGGCCTTTCAAGAAAGGGAATGAGCATGTAAATGTAACCATTGATACTACGGGTATAGAAATGGTAATATTATATGGGAGATTCCTCCTGCGGTCTCCTGAATCGTAACCTTGTATCTCCGTACTAACATGTATTTACCTCCTATGCTCCCCAGCGCCATCTAGTGGCCACAATCAGGTATTGTCCACATGATCTTTGTTACTACTAGTGACATCGGAGGTCAGGTGTCCATAATAACCCCCCTGTTGTCTCCCTTCTGTTGCAGCGCATGGTTAAGACCCTTGGGGTCTCCGGGCTACACATTGTTCCTGGTTTCCATAGTAGAAACAAGTGCGAGCGCCATCACAAGCTCCTCCCCAAGGCTTTCCACCTGGTAAGATCTGGCTTCAACGCGAGCATCCTGATGAAGATCAAAGAACTCTACCGGAGGCGATATCCCCGTAAGATCCTCAACAGCGGTGACCTGACCATGCTGCACATGCAGGCCGGGGCCATGCCCAGCGCCGGCCCCTTGACTCAAGGGACGGTGTGCCACATGGGCTACGACACCGGCACAATGACGGCCAGCGTCTCTTCCTCCATTATGTCGCCGATGCCCTTGCTGAGCCCAAAGCACGAGCCGGACATTCAGCACCTGTCCCCGCCCATCCACCCCGTGCACCCGGACGTCAAGATGAAGAGGCTTCCTTTTTACGATGTTTACGATGAACTTATCAAGCCCACCACACTCGGTGAGTCGGGGGTCTCCGAGGGTCAACCCACCCACATGGCAGGTTGGATTTAGAGCATGTGGCCGGGGCGGTAGTGGGCGTGCCCACCCAAATCTCACATTTCAATAGGTATCGGAGGATCCAATCCTCTGACAGTATCTCGGGGACTCGTTGGTGACACCTCAACGCTGAGTTCCCAGGTCTGCAGACCTGCTGTGGTCACTGTGAGGGCTTTCCACCATCCTCTCACCCATGTCTGGGTGGGTGGGTGGATGTTCCCAGGCAGGTAGACCGCTCCAGCTAATGCCCACATGTGATGCTGAGACCCTGTGATTGGCAGAACTGAAATCCAATGAATGAAAGGGGCTGGCCAAGGACAGTCAGGCTGGAGTGGAAAGCATTAGATGTTGCAGGATGTCCTCCAGCCAGGAAATGAGGCGGGTTGTGCTCTTCTAGTTCACCTTACCAGTAAGCGACAGGACATGCTGCGGCTGGTAGTTCCTCTACTTGCTCCGAATCTTACCATCTCCATCTCCTTCCAGCTTCAACAAACTCCCAGCGCTTTGAAGAGGCCCATTTCAGCTTCGCATTAACCCCCCAACAGGTCCATCAGATCCTGACATCCAGGTCAGTTCATCGTGCGACTTTCCTTCACGCTTTTCAGCCATTTTTTACTATTTTAGGGAACATTACAGGAAAAGCGAACATTGCCCGGAGTAAGAATATATTGACGTACATCGGGGGTCTATTTACCAAAAAGGGCATAGCTTATTCGTCCAGAGAAACTCCGCGTACATGTGTTCTATGCGAGATAACCAGCTGTGGTGAGAATGAGGCAAAAACAAATGTTTTTAGTGTATTTTGTCTTCTTGTCGAATGTTCTTCAATAGGTTCACGCAGAAAGAACAGAGAGAATGGGGAAAGTTCCACAAATGGCCGCTAGATGGAGCTGAGGGTCACAGGAGATAAATTACATGTTAGGAACAGGATACAATGTAACAATTCAAGAGACTACTGGAGGGAATGAACATGCCATTGTAACCATTACTATCTCTGTAGTATCAGTGGTTACATTGATATGCTCATTCTCCCCAGCAGTCTCTTGAACTGTAACATTGTATCTCCTTTCTAACGTGTCGTTATTTCCTATGAGCCTCAGCACCATCTAGTGGCCATTTGTGGTATTTTCCCCATTGAAGAACACTCTACCAGATGACGAATTACACTAAGAACATTCGATTTTGTCACAACAGCTTGTTAACTCGCACAGAACGAATGTGCCTGCAGTTTCCCTGATTTTATAAGCTATGCACTTTTAAATAAATTCATTTCATCATGTTGTGTAGTATCTGTAAAATGGTTGAATTGATCTGGTTTTGATGGGATTCATTTATTGATTTTATTTATTGATTTTTGTCTTTTGCAGGGATACACTGCCGGGTGCGAAGTGTGATTACACAGTACAGGTTCAGCTAAGGTAAATCTTCATCAATGTTTTAGACACACTTGACTTGTCTCTGTCCACATCCCATGTGACTTCCCTTTTAGTGCTGTAGATATTACAGGGCAACAAAATAATTGCCAAGCTCATCCACATCAACAACAAAAACCATTAATGAATGAATAATGTACAAGAAATTCTGGGAACTGAAAAGAGAAGTCTAGTGTTTTAAAGGAAAGTGCAATTATCCTTTCTCCTCAACAAGAACCATGGCTTCTATGAAGTAGGGCTTAGGACCCATGGGAATCATGGCTTCTATGGAGAAGGAATGGAACCCAATGAGAACCATGGCTTTCTATAGAGAAGTAATGGAACCCAATGAGAACCTTGGCTTTCTATGGAGAAGTAATGGAACCCAATGAGAACCATGGCTTCTATGGAGAAGGAATGGAACCCAATGAGAACCATGGCTTTCTATAGAGAAGTAATGGAACCCAATGAGAACCTTGGCTTTCTATGGAGAAGTAATGGAACCCAATGAGAACCATGGCTTCTATGGAGAAGGAATGGAACCCAATGAGAACCATGGCTTCTATGGAGAAGGGCTTGGAACCCATTGAGAACCATGCCTTCTATAGAGTAGGGCTTGGGACCCAACAAGAACAGTGACTTGTATGGAGTAGGGTTTGGGACCAAACGAGAATCATGGAATAAAAGAACCAAAGAGACTTCCAACCGAGGGCAAGAAAGAGGTCCCTTTTTTATTTTTATTTGAACACTTTGGCTCTTGACACCCATTTCTTATGTCCAGGTTCTGCTTGTGTGAGACCAGCTGTCCCCAGGAAGACTATTTCCCCCCTAACCTGTTTGTGAAGGTGAACGGAAAGCTTTGCCCACTGCCGGTAAGTTAAACTCTCACTCCAAGCCCTCCTCTCACACTCCTGACCTTCTTACCCCTGCAGATGTTCACCAGAACTCTTTCTCCTAACCACACAGGGCTATCTTCCTCCCACCAAGAACGGCGCAGAACCCAAACGGCCAAGCAGACCCATCAACATTTCACCGCTGATCCGCCTGTCCTCCACCGTTGCCAATAATATTGTGGTGAACTGGTCGTCCGAGTTCGGGAGAGTAAGTCCTACACCTGAGCTACCCGTGTCCTTTTCCTTCTAAAGGGTCACCCCGACCTCCCAAAAAATATCTCAGCATTTGGAGAAAACAACTCTATCACCCAAAGGGGGGTAACGATTATCACCACAGCGGACTGTGGTGGAATGTAAAGATTGCTCTGGCCCATACAGAGGTCTTCTGGTTGGAAGCCGGAGAGGGGTCAAGGAAGTCTGTTTTTATTTATTTCTCCCTTGTCCTCCATGACAGAATTACTCTCTCTCGGTGTATCTGGTGAAGCAGCTGACGTCGGTCACTCTGCTGCAGAAACTGCGGGCCAAAGGCATCCGGAACCCGGACCACTCCAGAGCGCTGAGTGAGTCTGAAACGTTCCCCTCCCAAAAATGAAATAATGGGGACTTACTTTTTGTTGGTTATGTGTTTAGCTGAAGCACAGGGATCTTGAGGGATGCTTAAGTTTTACTTGCTTAGAAGAACGCTGCATACATGTATACAGGAATACAGCATCAAACAGGAAATGCAAAGATCATAGAGAAGAAAACATATACAGATATAACTTCCTGTGTATCACAAATAAGTATGCATACAGAAACACTGCACTGCAGCGCCATCTAGTGCTCAAAAGACATAGTTACAGTCAGCAACACAATCAGTATGCTGTTGCATCTCCATTATTCACAATTGTCTTTTCCTATTCCATCACAGTTAAAGAAAAACTGACGGCCGACCCTGACAGCGAAATCGCCACCACCAGCCTGCGAGTGTCTCTGATGTGTCCGGTAAGTTTGTTAAAAATATCTGAAGGGGGGCCCCCTAAAGGCAGCTGGGTTTAAGAGCCATAAGGAACACAAGACGCATCTGTTTTTGGAACTTGCATTGTGGGAGAAGAACATCAAAGCATGGTCACTGTGCAATGCTAGTAAACAGGAAGCAGAGATCTGAGATATCTGGAGATCCTGCCAGTAACGGGAGTACTTTTGCAAGCTGACGACACTAAGCCACTGCATCGTCCTAGGCAGCAGTGTTGTCAGCCTGCTGTGTGCGCTCCTTTAAGTAGAAGTTTTACCACTACTACAGAATTGTTGAATCCCCCAGGGGACCAAACGCTTGTAGCACTTGGTCCCGTTCTGATCTGTGTCTGCGTTGTGTGTTTGAAGCACATCCTAAATGTTTGTTTGTGCTGGGTGTCCGCTCCTCTCCAGACTGAAGCCCAATTTATGGTCATAATATGGGAGAGCTACAGCAACAATCTGTAGCCACTGGCGCCTGTCCTCCTGTATACTAGCTGGCGCCTGTCCTCTGTATACTAGCTGGCGCCTGTCCTCTGTATACTAGCTGGCGCCTGTCCTCTGTATACTAGCTGGCGCCTGTCCTCTGTATACTAGCTGGCGCCTGTCCTCTGTATACTAGCTGGTGGCTCTCCTTGTGTTGTGATCTACGCTGACGGGCCCTCCTACCTCTGTGGTGGTGAATGAGGGTGCTTATCTCCAGCATGTGCCCACTTCCAGGGGCAAATGCTGTCACTCAGAACTACTGAGCAGCGTGGTCGAACAGCAGAGGGGGGTGGGGGTGGCGCGCTGTTGATCACACTAGCTCAGCAACCACAGCACAGATTGGAATGGGACCAGGTGCTACATGCGCATAGTCCCCTGTAGAATTCAACAACGTCCTGGAGTTCTGATGATACGTCTTTCAGTTGGCTGAGAACTCTGCTGCTCATTACGAGGCAGTGGCTCAGCATTGTCAGGCTGCAACAGGAAGTTCTGTTACTGGCAGGATCTCCAACTTTGCAACACATTGACCAAAATCTCTATGCATAAGGAAGCTGTATACAGTCATACACGTAGATGGACTCACTTCAAATGACGTCCCGGACCCCTTGTAATCACGGACCTGTCTCTGTGTCTCTCCAGCTAGGTAAGATGCGCCTGACGGTGCCCTGCCGCGCCCTAACCTGCACCCACCTTCAGTGCTTTGACGCGGCGCTGTACCTGCAGATGAACGAGAAGAAGCCGACCTGGACCTGTCCGGTGTGTGACAAGAAGGCGCCGTATGACATGTTAATCATAGACGGGTGAGTGCAATGCGAGACGCCGAGATTCACCATGGATCGGTTTTATCATCTTTCACCAGATGCGGAGTTCTGCTTTAACCTTTATATCCCCCCCCCCCCCCGCGCACCCTTTC